CTTCTTTGTTATCTAATTTAATTTGTAAGGTTGGTCATTTTTTTAATCAATTCACCCCAAGTATGGCGATAATGCCACTAAGACGCAATGGGATACTAGGAATAAAAGAGAATGAAAAGAATTTAAAAGGAACTGCAAATGCAATCCTAAACAGGAAATAAGGGATAAAATTCTACTGCTGTTCTAAAGAGCGGAGTGGTGTGTGAACCTGACTATAGTTGAACTCATCTACCCCTATTAACTGTAAACTCAGCCTAACACTGCCTACTACGAGAGAATATACATTTTTCCTTTTTATCCGCCAAGTAATTAAACTTTCTTTTATATTAACAATTCTTTTATTTATTGTCTGCCATAAGTAGGTCTACTCAATCGTAAGTTGCTTGAAAGTGGGAATTGCAATATGATTGGCTTGTAAACAAAAACGGGATTGGCCTGCAGGTAGATAACGAATATGATTGGCCTGTAAATAACAAACATGATTGGCCTGAAGATAACAAATATGATTGGATAACAAAGAAGTTCTGTTTAAATTCCATGATTTCTCTTTTGTTGAGCAAGAATGATCATTTTCTGTTTTTCGATCTTTTATACCAACCAGTTCGACTGGATGGACCAATACCAATCTTTTGTACCAATAATGATTACATCATGTCTGAACTAAACAGAAGGATCTGTCTACGCTGACAAATGCCAGAGCATCCCACTTCAAAAGAGATTGAAGGCAAAAAAATCAATTGAATGGAGAGATTGTGAATTACTTATTCTTAAAGTAAATTCTCCTACAATTGACCTCTGACCCTGTAGCTGGAAGGCAAATCAGCCTAAATTACAAACGCAGGCGTTGACATTTTTAGCGAACTAAATTCGTTGTTAAAATGTCAATTTCTCCGTTGTAATCAACAATCAACAATTGAAGTCACTCCGAATAGAGGCGTAATTGTTCTTTTATATATATATAGATAGATAGATAGATAGATAGAGAGAGAGAGAGAGAGAGGTGCTGCGTGCATACGTTCGTGTGTGCAGGTACGCATGTATGTGTGTATGTGTGCGCGTGTACCTTAGGAAACATCTATTCAAAATTAACTCTCGGCCTAGTTTTGCAAACATATGTATAACGGTGCTGTGTATGTGCATATGTGTGTCTTTTTACATTTGAATCTGTGTGCGTGTGAATATTTTTGAGTCTATGGCGTGTGTGCGTGTACATTGGTGCACATGTGTGTATGTATACATGTTTGTGTGCTCGAGGGGATGCGTGCATGTTTATGTCTGTACTTGCGTCTGAGCGCGTGTTTGTGTTTCTGTGCGTGTGAGCGTATGTGCGTGCTTGCGTGCGTGTATATTTGCGTATGTGTCAGTGCGTGCATGGGTGTATCTGTACGCGTTTTGTGTTGTGTGTGTGTGTGTGTGTGTGTGTGTGTGTGTGTGTGTGTGTGTGTGTGTGTGTGTGTGTGTGCGCGCACGCGGTGGAGGGGGGTATGTGCATTAATGATGATCTACCTTGTCCTGGTAAGTTATTTCTGCCAGCTGGTTTCCAGATATTCTTTTAAAAGAATCACTTCTGAGAAAAATTAGATCTGCTGGTGCGTCCAATTACGCCACAGAATAATTAAAAAAGAATTGAAACACTTAACGACACACACAACGACAAACACAGACACACGTAACATCGTACAATACAAACATTTTCATATGTTTTCTATCTCTTTATAGCCTGTTTACTTCACCAGTTTTCCTTTTTTCTTTCTTTACTCTCTTTTTTCTCTCGTTATCTTTTCATCTCTCTCTCTCTCTCTCTCTCTCTATATATATATATATATATATATATATGAAGAAAAATATACAGAAAAAACAAACAAAAATCTTAATATGCAATTATGCTGTATTAATGTTAATATAAAGTCAACGTCGTTAATACAGCATAATTGCATATTAAGATTTTTTTTGTTTTTCTGTATATTTTTCTTCATACTGTCGGATCTATATCCATAAATTTGCTTATATATATATATATATATATATATATATATATATATATATATATATATATATATATTTAACAACAAATCAAAGTATCCGTAAAATCAACACAAATCCTGCCAAATGACGAAAGAAAATAAAAATAAAAACAAAGCCAATAAATCAAAAACAATTACAGTAAAACCTCGAATTAACGGTCCCGGAACCAACGAACTCCGGATTTAACGGACAAAACCCGCAGAAATGGTAGTGCCCGGCTAGAACTCAAAACGCCAGCCCGTTAGTTCCAGAATTGGCCGCTGTTGTTTACCTGGTACAATCAACAGACAGAGACTGGTAGTTCCGGGAATAGCCGCTGTTGTTTATTTGAGCGCTAGTTGTGTACACACATGCAATGTCTCGAACATTTTAAACGGATTTTGGTACAGTATAGAGTACTGTTTTTTTTCTTCAGTATGGCAACCGATCATAACGGGGTAGAGAAAAGTAAGCACATTGACCTTAGTATTGGTAACAAATTGGAACTTATTAAGAAGTTGGAGTCGAGAGTTTCCGTGGCCAGCGTATGTGAGGAATACGGCGTGAAAAAAAAACAAATTGTAAGAGACAGACGTAGGAGTAAGGAAAAACTTCAATCTATATAGTAACTTAAAAATAAAATACACATGCATACATACTGTATTTACATTTATTTACAATAATTTTGTATTGTACTATGTCTTTTACACCATGAAGAATATGCTTCAAGTTAACGTCAATCGCCTTTAAAGGACGACCATTAAATTAAATCAGTCTATTAAAACTGATGTCCCACTGTATATATACTATTGCTATATTATAGCATATATTCGTACTGCGTAAACATTATCAGTGATTTTTTTAATTAATTATTAATAACTAGTACAGAAATGTATTAATCATTAAAATATATACTTGGCTTTCTATGAATTTACGCCAAAGTTTTCAAATTCCATCTTGATAAATCAACTCTGGCTGAGATGCAGTAAAGTTCTCCATGAAATCTTGACCAATTAAATCATCCTTAAATTTTTGTCCTGATAAGGAACGCTGTATCGAAGAGGAAAAAAAGAGAACACCATAGTGCCAAATTGAAGTGTCTCCACGTCCTGTAGAATTTTCCATCATCTCATCATTGTTTTTTGTTGTTTTTTTTTTTGTTTGTTTGTTTTTTTTTCGCCCGACAAAATAACATATACAACAGTATGATTTTCCAGCTTCTCTGTCCTGTAAACGCCCCATTTTTTCCTTCCGTTGTCTGAGTGGAAGCATCATCCAGTAGATTCCAAATTCCTATTGTCTACTATTGTCCTCGAAGATAAAAAAAAATTCACCTTCCTTGAACTTTGCAAACCATTAACGACAAATACGACTTCCAACCGAAACATCTCCACAAGCTTCATCTAGCCTCTTTTTCACTTCTGTCCCCTTGTGCTCAACAGAGTGCTACACATGTTTCTTGTCCGTAGATAGTTTTCTTAACACAAGATAAATGAACACTGAATACAGAAGCAGTTTTTAACTATGTATTTAATCTGGAGTTTCCTAAAATAGAGCGCTTTTGCACACAATTCATATATACAAAGTTTAAAGGAAAGTGACCAAACACAAGAATTTCTTTGGATTCGCCTCTTGGTTGCGCTGAGAGCTTTTCAGCGCTACTATTACTACTACTAATACACACACACAAACACACGCATACATATTGGTATAAATGTTATATCTAGTGGGTGAACTAGTAAAACGGAATCCATATTGTTTGTCAGATAGTAGGTCGTGAGAGGTAAGATACTTAACCACTTCAGCATTGATTAAAGCCTCGAATATTTTGCCGAAAAGCGGTAGGAGATTAATAGAGCGGTAGTTAGAGAGGTTAGAAGGTTCTCCGGAGTTCTTAAAAACATGAATTACAGAGGAGTACTCCCAAAACGCTGGAAAGCAGGAAGCAGCGGGGCAATAGTTGTAGATTTTGGAGGGAACAGGAGCCAGCTCAGAAGCACATTTCTTTAGGACTACGGCTTTACACCTGCCTATGATTTACGCAATATATAATTATATTGACATCAAAATATTTTCTTTACTCTGAAAATTGATGATTCTACTGTCATTAAAATCAATATTCAATAAATAAATAAATCTCAAATTTCGACTAACATCATTAGATACATTATAGCAACGATTAGTTTTCTTGTTGTGGTAGTCTAATTTAAATATATGAATGGTGGCGATTATCTCCCCTTGGCAAGAACAAGGCTGTCTATATAAGAATTTAAAACACTTCCAATATCGAAGAACAATGCATATTTTTACGAAACATTTACCCAATTTTTCGTAAAAGTAAGGTCTGAGTTTAAATAAATCCTGACACGAACGAAATCTCTCACTGACATATGGTTGTTGAGTTAATTTTCCTTCATCTTCCCCTATTATTATGCCCTGTACTGGGCCAGCCATGTAAACCTAAATGGCTAGTCAATGAAGAATAATCTGTACAGAAGACAGTTTTGGAGTAGACTCCGCGAAGAGTAGGTGCTTTCTTGACACATGGATAAAACAAAGTTCTTGCAACATGAAGTGCTGGATATTTAAGTAAAAATACCTTTTGTAACATCCATTAGATTTCCTTTTCAGGATCGGAAAGAAGGCATGTAACAGATCTTTACCTTTTGCTAGCATGTTCTCTTTCCAGAAAATAAAAACTTCCATTAAGGTTCTTCCGAAATTTTCCTAGCCGATTGTGCTATACCGACGACTGATACTACCAAGGCCACCTGCATATATTTGGTAAACTCAATATGAGTTAAAAGAAACTCTTGGAGACATTAACAGTTAATGTGTAATGCTTGATAAGGTTTTTACCGAAATGACTATATGTACGAGCTGTGCAGCCTTTGAGAATTAAGCGATAAGTTCAATTTCTTTTGAATATACGTCAAGTGGGCACTCAGTCAAACACTTCAAACAAATTATTCAAAAGAATAAAGGAAAAAGATTAGTCAGGGACAGGTCAACTTGCACCAATCAGAGGAACACGAGATTTGCTGGCGCCATGATGCATCAATACTAGAAAGAAAGAAAGAAAGAAAGAAAGAAAGAAAGAAAGAAAGAAATAGAATGAAAGAAAAGGAAGGATAAAAGAAAGAAAGAAAGCATGATAATTTAAATACCGTGAAAAAATAAAAGGATTTAAAAAAGAAATAATCTGAAAGAAAAATCAAACAAAATAATAAATGGTAAGAAAAATTAATAAATAAAATAGAGAAAAGATAAAAGAAAGAAGCAGAAGAAATTGAAAGAAGAAACGAACCAACCAACCAAAAAACGAAAAGGAAACAGTAAAAAAAAAAAAGGGTGGGGAGTAAAAGTAAAAAAATGAAAACGAATTAACAAAAAATGAACGAAGAAATGAAAGACATAAACGCAAAATAAAATAGTGAAATAAAAAAGGACAATGAAAAGTAATAAGGAAAAAATTAAAAGAAATGAAATAAAGGCCTTTAAAAAGAAAGAATAATATGTAAACTGAAAAAAGAAATTAAAAAGTAGAAGAAATCAAAAATAGCAGAAGAAAAAGAAAGGAAAATTTGAAGAACAATAATAAAGAACGGAAAGGAAAAAGAAAGAAAAAAAGAAAGAAAAAAGAAAGAAAAAAAGAAAGAAAAAAGAAAGAAAGAAAAAAAGAATGAAAAAAGAATGAAAAAAAGAATGGAAAAAAGAATGAAAGAAAGAATGAATGAAAATTTCGAAAAACTAAAAAAATAACATCAGGTCTAAAAATATCTCATATTAAAATCAGGAATTCAATATAAAAATAAAGAAGAATGATTTCAAAAAGAGAAAAAACAAACAAGGGAACTGATAAATGGAAAATAATGAAATAAAAAGAAATAAAGGAGAAAGAAAGAAAGAAAGAAACAAACAAACAAACAAACAAACAAATACAGAAAGAAATACTGAAATTCAGAAAGGGAGAAATAGAGGCAGAAAGAAAAACTGAGAGAAAGAAAAAATAGAGACAAAAAGAAATACTGATACACAGAAAAAAGAAAGAAAGAAAGAAATACAAGCAGAAAATTACTGAAATACAGAAAGAAAGAAAGAAAGAAAGAAAGAAAGAAAGAAAATTCATCCGGTTATTTTGTTGAATGAAGTGTGTCACAAGCGTATACTCAGAGGGATTTAGAATTGTCGGTACCTCTTCCCGCAACAGTGGAAGCACAAAACCAAGGGCAAAGGTCCAAGTGGAAAGGCCTTTGTGCGAATTTGAATGAAAGGTAAAACTAGCAGCTGCAAAGTACAGTCATCCGGTGTCTCTTGAAGCAATTGACCAGTTGGAATCAATTAGAAGAGTCATGGCCATCGTGTGACACAGGCAATGGCCATGTACGCAAAATCTCAAAGGAGGCTCCGATTTCATAAATTTGCCGAAATTAGTGAGCTGCAGACTACATTTAGTGTTAGCGAGAGAAACATATGCTTTATTCTAGCACATTTCTCTCCTTTTTGAAGTGAAAATGTATTAATTCCTTAATGACAATTTTATATATCGATGACAATTTAGGACACATTGACTTCGATTCTCACCTGAAGAAGAATGAAAGTTGTCTTTCATTCTCACCTGAATAATCCGAGATCAACAGACGTTGGCAAAACTCGACTTTTATTAAGCGATTCCCACAATTTCGCATCATCACCATTTTTATTTCAGGTACCATTATACTTACTACAAAACACACACACACACACACACACACATATATATATATGTACATTATTTGCATTATTCGGACTATTGTCCTCATCTTTGTCGCCATATTTATCACAACGTTTCGGCCGTTGTACGCTCCGGCCTTCTTCAGGTGGTTGAAAGATGAGGACAATAGTCCGAATAATGCAAATAATGTAAATAATACCTCATCTCAGAAATATAGACATACATATATATATATATATATATATATATATATATATATATATATATTATTATGAAATGAACATTGTCCAACAATTATTTTAAGACATTTTTATGTTTATACATTCTTTTTATAGATACAAATATTTAAGTAAATGCTCTGTTTATAATAAATAGTATTAAACAACATTTACAGGCCTGAATATCCGAGAAATTTTCACAGAAAATATTCGTCCTCCGACAGGATTCGAACCTGTATCCTATACGGAACCGTCATTTAACTTGACGTGCCTTTTCCGATTTGGTCACAGAGAAGCGTTCGGCTAGCAACGTCGAATTAACTGTATTTAAACTTCAATCTTCCATGAATCTCTCACGTACATTCATATCTGCTCATGGCGTAACAAATGTAAATGGATATATACAAAGAATGTATAAACATAAAATGTCTTAATATATATATATATATATATATATATATATATATATATATATATTTCTGTAGATTTCTGAATTTTTTCTGCTGCTACCACCATCAATAAATATGAATGAGCTTGTTCCGGAAGCAGCCATGTAAGCCCAAGCCAAGACATGGCATCCACAATGTTTATATATTTTAGCTCATAAGTAGACCATTTCTTTTACCAGACTCTGGCCTTTCCATCCCTTTGATAGAGATTAATCTTGGTTCATAAAACTTTCTTTCAAAAATTTTGTCGCTCTTCTCTGTACTCCTATGCAAATTTCAATTTGACTTTCCCATTCTTACTGCTTGTGAATGGTTTGCATCTTGTGGTATGGCCTCTATATTTCTGCTCTCGAAGTCTTCTTCCAATGGTGGATTGTAAAACCTTCACCCCTGCCGTGTGGAGGCTGTTGATGGCGTCACTGTTATTTTGGGGGTTTTCCTCACAAATGTCACATTGTTTGTCATCAACTGCTGTTGTTTTGCCTTTCAGACCTTTTCTGTGTTTGTTACTCAATACACCAGTAGATTCTTTCTTTTTCATGACATTCCAAATTGGTGTGTTGGCTACGCCCAATGTTTGTCCAGTTTCTTGATTTTCCTTCTTTTCTCAGCTACACAATTTCTCGCATAGACAGCTCTCGTCTTCATTTGGTTTATCCTTTTTAAACAATAAATGCAATCTTTATAGGTAAAACCCAAGGCTAAAACCAAGAGTAGTCATCCGGAGTTATTTAATGTTTAAGCAATCAATCTAAAAGCAACAGCTGGGCAACAAGAAACACCTGTCAGTCACGTGTTCCAATAGTTTTGCTCACTTGAAAAATGGAAGTGTTCAAATAAAAGGTGGTATGTCCTAAATTGTTTAACACATCTAAATGTAAATATCAGAAAATAAAACTTGAAATTTAAATTCTTATCTCATATTCAACTTTTGATCTTAAACCCAAATATCTCCAGTGAACAACAAGACAAGGGAATTACCCTTGTTGTTCCAATACTTTTGGAAGGGACTGCATATATATATATATATATATATATATATATATATATATGGAAACAGAGTTCTCACACAAATTTTGATAAAATTATAAATATATAAAGTTGTGTAGAAACTTCGCTTCTAACCATATATAAAGTGTCCATGTGTCGCACATAATTATTAATAGGGAAGAAAATATCGAAAATACAGACGGAGCAAATGAAAAAGATTATCAGTAGGTCCACACGAAAAATGTCCCCACCTGAAAATTATTTCCACCCTCTTGTGAAAATAATGCGATCTAATTTTAGTGCACAAATTCTTACTATTGGCCCCACTGACAAGTCATAAATTCTCCCACTCAAAACACTCTGGCGACAGGCGTGCTTATCAGATTGATGCCACTTCAGTCTTAGAAAAGGAAGTGTTTGCAAGTAAATTAAAATTCTGTATACAGTAAATTGCGGCATACAAATTGAGTTTTCAAATCTAAAATATATTTCCAAAACTTAGGGTCGACATATGATAGGTATAAAATGCAATCCTTTACCAGCGAGTTGTAAAACAAGTGGGACAACACTCCTAACAATTACCGTACACCACTTACAGTACTTCTAGTAGGCTGCCACAAATATATCCCACTAAAACTTGTGTTTGGTGAACATATTTGGCATATTAACACAGAAACTAATATAAAATAAAATAGTAACACAAATTCAGTTTTCTATTAACGCTACAGCAGACATCGCATCCAACTACTGATACACTAAGTGTAACCACTAACCGAAGCGCCGTTTGTGTGTTGTAGATAGTTTACTATACAAGAAAGATGTTAGCGTCCCAATATACAGGAAAGTCGTGCGACCTTATGTAGTTTTAGCACAGGTTATCGTATACTGTAGCCTAACTTAATTTACTGGTAGGCCTAAGATTTAGGCCACAACCGTATGTTTAGGGACCAACCTATACGGTAGGTATAGGCCTAACTCAAAATTTTAAGCTAAAAATCTTGTTCGACTTTTACGCTGCAATTTACGTTAATTACTTAGCTTTGTAAAGTATTTCATGCCACTGAATTAAAAAATACTTATTTATTTGAATCAATGTGAATAGTCTTGTTGAAAATGTTTTTTTAATAATAATTTCAGCATTTCTTATGCTTGCGTGAGCCATACGAGGGCGTTCATTAAAGATTTTTCTGATGCATGTTCGTGGTCGAAGAGAAGAAGAGACTCGTAAATTGGCACAGTCATTAATTCTTCTGCACATCGCTTGCACCCAGAAATGTGCACTTTTTACAGCGTTTGATGCACTTGTGGTGATCTTCCTTTAAAACACTGCAAATGAGGACTGCACCCAGAACGTCACCATATTACTGACTGTCGTTATCTTTGGAGTGCCCGCTTTTGAAACATCGGTTCCCGAAATTATGCAATGTCGAGTCAGGTTAGTATCTTGATGGGTGACCACGTGGGAATACCAGGTGATGTAAGCTTGGATGTGCTAGTGGTGTAATGTATAACGACTAGAAATTAGAGATCTGAGAGCCGAGTTCCAACTCCCGTCGGAGTGGTTATATTCACTTACGCGCAAATACGCCCAGCTCTCCTCCCCAGCTATGGATTAATTAGTAAAACTTCTATCAGTAAAAATTATTTTATCCCCCCCCCACACACACACAAATTCTTACAGTCTAAAAATATTTTCTGGCTTTAAATAACCTTAAAATTGGAGAAGCGAGTTCCAATTCCAGTTGGATTCGCTATGTTCACATACGCGCAAATATCCTTGAGAAAGTTATCAATCTAACTCCTCTTCTCCCCACCTATGTGTTAAATAGTGCTACTTGTGTCACTAAATCATCATTATCTCAAAGAAAATTCTTAGAATCTAAAAATATTTTCTGGCTTTAAATAACCTTAAAATTGGAGAGGCGAGTTCCAATTCCAGTTCGATTCGCTATGTTCACTTACGCGCAAATATCCTTGGGAAAGTTACAAATCTAACTCCTCTTCTCAACACCTATGGGTTAAATAGTGCTACTTGTGTCACTAGATCATTATTATCTCAAAGAAAATTCTTAGAATCTAAAAATATTTTCTGGCTTTAAATAACCTTAAAATTGGAGAGGCGAGTTCCAATTCCAGTCCGATTCGCTATGTTCTTCGCAAATATCCTTGGGAAAGTTACAAATCTAACTCCTCTTCTCAACACCTATGGGTTAAATAGTGCTACTTGTGTCACTAGATCATTATTATCTCAAAGAAAATTCTTAGAATCTAAAAAATATTTTCTGGCTTTTAAATAACCTAAAATTGGAGAGGCGAGTTCCAATTCCAGTCCGATTCGCTATGTTCACTTACGCGCAAATATCCTTGGGAAAGTTACAAATCTAACTCCTCTTCTCAACACCTATGGGTTAAATAGTGCTACTTGTGTCACTAGATCATTATTATCTCAAAGAAAATTCTTAGAATCTAAAAATATTTTCTGGCTTTAAATAACCTTAAAATTGGAGAGGCGAGTTCCAATTCCAGTCCGATTCGCTATGTTCACTTACGCGCAAATATCCTTGGGAAAGTTACAAATCTAACTCCTCTTCTCAACACCTATGGGTTAAATAGTGCTACTTGTGTCACTAGATCATTATTATCTCAAAGAAAATTCTTAGAATCTAAAAATATTTTCTGGCTTTAAATAACATGGTTGGTAAATCGTAGAAAACGAATCAATCAATTTACTTTTCAAATATTAACGCATGTATAGAAA